CTATTTCTTAGAAATAGTTTGTAATTTGAGACTATATAAGTGTTTTATTACAAGAGTGATAAAAAGTTAAAATTCTTGCAAGAAATTTAGTGCTAATAGATTTGGTTATAAGGAAGTTGATTGCTTATTGTTTGTTAAGCTTATCTATATTGTAATTTTGGGCTGTAATGTTTTAATAAAGGTTTAAGTATAGATAGAAGTAATAGTTGCAGTGTTTAGAGTTAGTTGAAATATTATTAGCTATGCAAGCAAAGTTTTCTGCATTACTTGCAAGTTTGTCAAATAATAAAATTGAAATTTGTTTGTCAAAAGATGCTTCATGTTTGCTGTTTTTATAAAATAAAGAGAAGTCAAGTTTGAATTGTTGCCAGATTTCATTTTCTTGTTTAGAGAAGTTAATATAGAATTTTTGAAAAATGTTTTTAAGAAGTTGAGAAAAGTGTTTATAGTATTGAGGTTGTTCATCAAAATTGTTAGATTTAACTTCTTTTTCTTTTTTTGATTGTTCTGTTTTATTTAAATAAATACAATTAGTATCTGTACAGAAAAGAATGTAGTGATTAGTATGTTTAATTGCTTTATCATAATGTTCTTATAAGTTGTTAGGTTTTGTAAATTTAGTTTAATAGGCATAATTTCTTTAAGATGAAAAATGAATTTTTGTCAGAATTAGTATTTAAGTGTATTGAAAACCTTAGTTTTATCTATAGATTTGTTAAATTGGTGATTATATAATAGAAAAAATTGTTTAAACAACTGTTTAAAATAGTCAAGTAAGTTTTTAAAAACTGAAATGTTAAGTTTTTGTAAAAAGAGTATTTTGGAAATGTTAAATTTAAGGTATATATTAAATTTGATATTAAAGCTGATTGTAAGATATTGTTTTCTTTGTTAAAGTTAACTACTTCAGATAAAATTCTAAACCTTTTATATCAAAGTTGAATATCTTTAGCAAATTTAATGTAGTCAATAGCTTGGTAGTTATTTGTAAGATAAAGATAAAAATATGCAAGATTAATGCAGAATTGCAATCAGTTTGAACTTGTATAAGAAGGAATAGTTGCAGATAAAGCAAATATTTTTGAATAGTTGTGTTTTGTAAAGAATACAGTAATGAATATAAAAATTAATTTTTTAAGAGTTTCTTTAAGTATAGTGAAATGAATAGTTATAGCTTTGTTAGTATTTGGACTAGAAATTGGAGTTTTTCTTCTGCTATTTTGTGAATTATATAATAGAAACTAGCTTTAAGAACTGGTTAATCACCAATTTTAGGTTTGATTTTAGTTTCAGATTTGAAGTTAAATAGATGTTGTTTGAAGAAATTAGTGATTTTTTTAAAAAAGTCTGTTTGTAGTTGTGATTTGTCTTTCATTTCTTTAGTTACAAGAAAGTTGACAAGCCAGTTAAATGTTAAGTTGGCTTTGGTTTTTTGTTGATTGTTGTTAGTATTAGGTTGTATTTACTGTTGTTATTTATTTGATTGTTGTTGTTGTTTATTTGATTGTTGTTATTGTTTCTTTAATTGTTATTATTGTTGTAATTGTTTGTTAAAGTGTAGTGATTATTGATTATCATTATTAATTATGTTGTTGTTCAAGTCCATGTTATTAGGATTATTAGTATTATTTGCAGATGATGTTGTAAAAGTAAGTTCAGATACTAGTAAGTTATAGGAACTAATTATTTGTTAGAGTTTTTAAATAAATATAAAGGAGGAGCTTGATTGTTGAATAGATTGTTGAATATTTGTACATGTTTTATAATGAGGTTTGTCATTAAATAAAATTGTGTCTACTGCCAGATAATGTTGATTGTTTATTTCTTTGCAAGCAATAGACAAGTTGCATTTACCATATTGGTAATTATGTATAGTAGATGAGGGTGATGCTATAAATGATAATAGAATAAATTTAGTAGAATTTGTGATGTTGTTTACTAAAGATTTTTTGTCTTTAGATTTTTTATTAATAAAAATAAGTTTGTGTTATTTGTAAGTTTGATTGGTAGTTGAGATAAAATGAATGTGAAATTTGTTACAAAAGTATGTAATAATAGAACTAGATTCAAATACTTTAAAGTAATAACAACTTTTAGTTTCTTTTCTAAGTTCTGTAGTTGAACAGTTGTTTAGTTGCTTGTTTGCAAAGATAAGATGTAATGTATTAGCTGTATCATCAAGAATACCAATACCAAAGCTTTTAGAACACTTTTGATAAAAATAGTTAAGATCAATGATGTTAAGTGCAACTGTTGTTAAGGTTAGCATTTTGTTTTAAAAATAGATTTTTAAATGTATTTTATAAAAAAATTTATTTAATTTAGAAATTTTTAGACTAGTTAAAAAAGTTTAAAAAAATGTATAAGCTTTAAATAAGCTTATTAGATGTTTAGAAATTCTAATAAGTATCAGAAAAGTAAAATTTCTGAAACAATTCTATAAGTTTTTCTAAAATACTAATAAAAAAACCTACAAAAAGCAAGTTTTTGTTTTTACTTTTTGCTTGTATCTTTATGAGTTTTGGTCTGTTTTAAAAAAATAATATATTAAAATGTTTGTCTCAGTAAGCTAAACAACTTTTAAATAAATAAAAAGATATATTTAATTAATAAAATTTGTAAAAATGAATAAAAACCAAAATCTTAGTTTTTTAAACTTTTCTCAGCAGTCAAGTGTTTTTGAAACTATAACACAGTTGCCTAGGAGAAGAAAAGTATGCTGAATAGCTTTACTTAAGAAGCCAAATAAGGTTTATTTAGTAATAAGTTAAGAAATAATTATATAGTTTTTTTGTAGTTTTAGTATAAGTGATTTATAAAGAGAGTTGCTTTTTTATATATATATAAAAAAAAAAAAAAAAGTTAATGCAGGATTGGTAAAAAGAATAGATTTATCTATTCAAAAAGAAAAAAAAGTTAGATTTAGTAAGAATTAGTAAATAAGAATATATTATTTATTCAAAAAAAAAAATACTGTGAAACTTGATCTGAAGTTATAAGTAAAGACTTGATTTGGATTATATAATAAAAGTTATAGTTAGTGCAGAATCTATTTAAAATAAATAAAGTAATGTGAAATCTGATCTAATTTGTATAAATAAAATGTGTAAGTAATGACTTGATTTTGATTATATAAAAAAAGACATAGAGTCAATGCAAAATCAGTGAAAAAGATTATTTATTTATAAATTACAAGCCATATTTCATAAATATTAAAGCAAAAAATATAAACTTACATATATATATTGATACTGTATATATATTTAATTAAAGTTACTATTACTATAACAATAACAATAAGTTAAATAAACTAACCAGTATACTTATATTGCATACATAACAATTATTTTGATTTTTTTTTAATATAATTATCTAATTTGATAAGTTTTAATTATATATGATTTTCAAATATATTATTAAAAGCAAGTAATTAAATATAAGGTAGATATGGGTATTGTGGTGCACATGGGTATTGTGGTATATCTATGATATCTTGTGACCTAGTGATTAGAATCATGTGATTTTTGCACCAATCGATTCATCTCATTGAGATGAATCGAATGATGTCAAAATCGTCTGATTCTAACTGCTGGGTTATGAGATATTATTACTCAAATAGGTTTCTAAACTTTATTTAGTAGAAGCATTTAACACACACTAACAATTACAATTTATATTGAGATTATTTATTAAGTAAATAAAAGCTTAAATAAAGTACAATTGTTTCTCAAGTCAAACTCTATAAAATATCAAAGTTTGAAGAGATATAGATAACCTTTTGCTAATTAATATTGCATTATTTATTTGTATATTAAAAATCACATTTTGGCGCAGCATCATACAATAAGTTGTTAGTTAATTAAATTCAAGTATGTATAGATTTGTGTATTAATAAAAAACTTTTTTATAATGCATATTCCAATTTGCATATAAAAAATATTTATTTGAACAAATATTTATTTCTGATATTTCTGATTTAGGATCATTTTGTAAAGTAAAAAAAATCTATATGGCAGTATATATTTATGGGTTGGCATAATTATGTGGGAGTTAGCTGGGCTGCCAGTCATTTATTAAGATTAATATCGTATTGATTCGCTAATTTCATACAAAATTCAAGAGTTGTTCGAGATTCAAATTTTGAACAACCAATTACATTCAAATAGTCAAATTTAAAGCCTTTATAACTTTGTAGACCAATCTCTATTAATTTTATTTTATATTGTTTTGTGGTTAACTAGCACATCATATTTGCATAAATAATATCAAATGTGCATTATATTATTTATGCAAATATACTGGGTGTTTTATAAAAACTAGTACTAGTAGGGAAATAAAAAAAAAGATACGTATCATTTCATTGACAATTGCTTCGCTGAACACCCAATTACACAGAACGATGGTTAATATTTAACGATTGTTTGATGATTAATAATTATTGTTCAATATTATTCCTTATATTGTGTAATAGGATGTTCGGTGAAATGAAATGATATGTATCCAAAAAAAGATCCTGTATAGGGTAGAGATGGGCGAAACTATTATGTACTCTTACTTAATATTACCTAAGATTTTTGGCAATAGGTAATAATAAGTATTTGAGTGTCATCAAGAAAAACATGCCATTTATATATAGTCTATATTTAAATATACATGTTTTCCTTTGCAGATAGCAGTAATTTTTTGTTCAATCTCAGTCAATTCTGACCATTATCATGTGTTTCGTATGTATACATAATAAGTAATAAAATGTAATAATTACTTAATATTACTTAATATTAAGTAAAGTCATAAGTCATAGGTCATTATTACTTATAAAATTACTTTGCCCATTCATAGTATAGAACTTAACAAACAAAAAAATAAATTTTACGTGTCAATGAATAGTAATATAGCTAAACCATACTGTTTGTGTGTTCTTAATAAATAAAAAAAACAATAATCAAAATCTTATAAATAGACGCTGTATATTCTAATCTGTAAGCTTATTAAAAAACAAAATGCCAACATATAACAACCAATCTGTAAAACAAAATGCAATTTCAAATGCCCTTAAAGAACTAAATGGTTCTTAAACCAATCCTAAGCCACCAAGTCATAGAAGTCTTGCAAAAAAATATGGCATCTCAGAAACTACTTTAAGACGTGTCATTAAAAATAGTGGCCCTCCTGGTTGTCCAGGCCCTGCCAAAGTTTTAACTGATTATGAAGAACAGCAACTTGTTAGTTATTGTTTGAATATGCAGAGACTTGGCTTTGGATTGACAAGATCAGAAGTGAACCAATGTGTAATAGATATTGTTCACCAAAATAATAGATCTTACTCCTTTAAAGAAAGTGGACCAGGTCAATTATGGTGAGAATGATTCATGAGAGACCACCCAGAACTTTTATTTCATGTCCCACAGGCCTTAAATGAAGCATGAGCCTAAAGGGCCAACCCTATCATTGTCAAAGATCACTTTCAAAAGCTTCAAAAAGTAATTGAAAATCATTCACTTACTCCGAATCAGATTTGGAATATGGTCTCTTTTTTTATTCCCTTTTTTTTTTTTTTTTTTATTTGCCTTTTTTTTTAATTATCTTTTTTATATCATATTTAGGATGAGACAGGCTTCATCTTTAATCTGACTCTTCAAAAAGTAATCACAAAGAAGGGTGCCCATCAAGTTCATTAGGTTTCACAAGGAAAGTCTCAAGAACATATTTCAGTATGTCCAACAATCTCAGCAGCCAGAACGTATATATCACTATTAATTATCTACAAAGGAAAGTGCATGATTCCTGGTCTCTTGAATGGTGCACTTGCAGGTTCTGTTATGGGATTCACAGATAGCAGATATATGAAAGAATGCCTTTTTCAAAAATATATTAAACATTTCATTCGTTCAATTCCACCTACCCGTCCTGTTTTATTAATTCTTGACAGTCATAAAAGTCATGTTAGTTATGCTTGTGTTAACCTTTGCTTCAACAACAACATTCTTCTCTATGCGCTCCCACCCCATACAACCCATATACTTCAACCTGCAGAAATTCCTTTTGCTCATCTCAAACAAGCTTACAGTAAAAGCTGTGAACAGCTTTGCTTCAATAATAATGGCGAATTAGTTACCAAACATACTTTTGCTAAGGTTCTTGGTCCGGTTTACATTAAAACTTACACACCTATAGCTATTTGCAATGCTTTCAAAGCAACTGGAATCTGGCCATTTAACCCAAATGCAATTAGTCCTGACCACCTTGATCCTTCTCTAGCAACAGAACAGTTTGATGTTTCAGCAATGCAACCTTCTACACCAATTCTGTATCTGCAACCTTCTACATCAACTTCTTTACCTTCACAAGCTTTTTCTAATCTAGATCCAAATCTTATCCTTACTTATACTAAGAAAAGATTATTAAAGGCTGAGATTAAATTGCTTAATCTTAGAATTGATCAGTTGGAAGCAGAGTTAAAAGTGACAAAAGATGAACTAGAAACTTTTAAAAACCCTAACATCTTCCTATTACGTTTAGTGCTTAAGTATTCTCTTCCTCATACTCTACAATCAGTTAAAGATCCAGTTCAAGCCGTGAACCAACCTGAAGCAAGTTTACAAAAAAAAAAAAAAAAGGAAAACTATGCTGTTTTTCCAATTTCTTATGAACGAAATGTCTCTAAAGCTATTAAAAAATGTGGAAGAGGAAGCTGAAAGAAAAGCCAATAAGATCAAGCAAAAAAAAGAGGCTGCTGTGCAAAAACGAATTGCTAGGGTTCAAAAGAAGGAAGAATTAGACCATGAAAAAGCAGAAAGACAACGTATTAGAGGGGAAAAGAAAAAAAATTAGCTTATATGTACATACGTACATCATCATCATAATCATCATACGTAGTATGCCATTTTTGGTAAAACTGTCTAAAATTATAAATTTTAAATAAAATTTAGTTAATCTTAATAAAATTTTTTTTTTATACTGAAAATGTTTTAATTTTAAATAAAAGTATTATTTTAAAAGTCAACTTATCTTATTCTAAAGAAATTTTATTAATTTCATATTAATTATTTAAAGTTTTATTATAACCAAAGTTAATTGCGCCACAATACTCATATCTACCTTATATCTTAAAAAAAAAAAACATAATGACAATAGTTTTTATAGTTTATTTAGAAGTTACTAAATCTAATCTCTTGCATAAAAATTAATTCAAAAGTGTTTACACAAGCATATGAAAAAGATGATTCATAATTAAAAAAATTATAAGAAATTAAAAAAATTGAATAGAGATATTATTATTACAATAAAGAATTATGGATAAAACCTCCTTTTATGATTTTTTCTAATAAAAACAAATTAAAATGAAGTCTTTAAGCTTTTTTTAAGAATTTAAATCTGTTGTTATATAACCTGCTAAAAATTTTATAAAGAATTCATAAACATGAAGAATTTAAATCTATAATTACTAATTTTTTATTAATAAAATATATTTTTTTAAAAACAAATTCTAAAAAAATTTTTTTTTTATTATAATATGCTATACATTATAAATAGCTTTATTTGTAAATCATTTTATCTGTTTGTAGAAATAATAAAATTAATGTTGATGGTTTTTTTATGATTAAAAATAAAAATTATAAAAATGTGTTTTATTGGTATTGTGAAGGGTAAAACAAGTTAAATTATAATAGTTACACAATAACCAAACTGGTAAATAGTCAATATTAACTTAAAAGTACAAAAGAGTATACTTATTTAGCACAAACAAGCCAAGCAGAAGTTGTAAAGGTAATTGCTCAGATAAAGGAGCAAGTATAACTAACCAAAATAAAACTAGCTCAAGTCTTGTAAATAGTAATTACTATAGTTTTTAATATATGTATTAGTACCTTTTATTTTTTAATGCAATCTGTCAAACAATTCAACAAATTTGACATCTTGATCTTCTTACAGAACTATTTTTAATTATTTCTAATCATATAAAAAGAACTCTAAATAGGTTGGATTTTTTAATTCATGATTTCATAGTAGAACAAAATAAGATTTTAATTTTTACAACTGTAGATAACATTCATCACTTAAATCATTTAACATTTTGGATTATAGATAAAATCTTTTGGACAGTACCTAATATGTTTAGGCAGCTATATACTATTTATAGTACTTTTTAATCTTTTATTTATTTACTTATTATTTATTAACTTATTTGTTTATTTATTTATTTACTTATTTTATATTTTTTTTAATTATACTATTGACTTTATTAATATAATATATATATTAATATATTATATTTCAGGATGTGTCAGTGGAAATAAAAATTCAAGAGTATTACTTTTGGTTTTCTGTTTAATAACTAGCAAATCAAAGAAATCCTACAGGTGATTGTTTAAAAAACTAATAGATTTTGGTAAGGAGCATAATATAAATTTGAAACTGCAAGTAGTTTTAACCAATTTTAAGACAGCTGTCATAAATTTTATCCAATTAGAATTTGATAATATTTAGAGTATAGGTTGTTACTTTTATTTTTCAAATGTATTTATTACAAAATTCAGACTTATAAACTTGCTTCAAAATATAGTATAAAAGAAGATTTTAGCTTACTAATAAGAAGTTTTTTTGCTTTTAAATTTTTGCCTCTTTCTGAAATACTAACTGCATTTAAAAAATTAAAAACTCATATTCTAGCTAAAGCTGAACATGTTATTTAGTAGTTTGAGAAAACTTTTATTTATAGTAGAGTCAGACATACATATAAAAATAGTAATATTAGTAAATCAGAACTATTGTTTTCTTCCACTTTTTGGTTTGTAGTCAATAACATTGAACTTGCCTATCTAAGAACACAAAACTCTGTAGAAGTTGGCATCAATGATAGGATGTATTAGTAAATTGTACACATGTGAAGGTTTTTAAAATTTTGAAAAAAATTCAAAAATAATAAAATAAAGTTGAACTTGACATTAAAGCAATTTTGCAAGGTGATTCAAGACCTCTCCAAAGAAGGCATACTATTGAATGTGAACAGCATATACAAACTATATTCAATGATTGTAATAATAAATCTATCGTGAAGTATCTTTATGAAATTGCTTACAATCTTGCTTTTTAAAAATTTATATTCTTTATTTTTATTTTTTACTTGTTTTCTATTATATAAATGATTTTGTATAAATAAAGTTTAAGTATTTACTCATTGTATTACTTATTAATAAACTGGTTATTTAAATATAAAATTTTATAAAGTTATATAATAAATTACTTAACTACTAAATAATAAATATGATCTTGTATATATACTTTTTAATTAGTAATAATAACTTTATTTATGCAATATCTTCAAATTTATATAAACTACAAGCCTTTTTATATATAAGAACTTTCCAATTATGGTTTTTAAATAAAATATTTATAATATTTGTTTATATTAAAAAAGTAAGAGTCAATTAAATAGATAATAAAACTAACTAAACTACTATTATTGGTAAGTAAAAAGAGGTGTAGAAAGGCTTGATCTGATTCTTAAAAGTTTTTTGAGTTTTACTACAATAATACTAGTAGTTCAGATAAGTATAACTTGGTTCTATACTTCTATTAGTTGTTTTAAGGATCCAAAAGAAAGTGAAAAGAAATTACTTTTCTTTGTTTCAAGTATACTAAGATTTTAGTTCTCTATTTGATTATTATGAGTTTTAATGATTGTTACATAAGTTATAAAAGTAATATAGTATTGCAAAATTAATAGATTTTTAATTAAATACTATTAATAGAATTAATAGAATTAATTTTATTAATATCATTTACACTTTTAAAAAAATTACAAAATTTAATTCACAACTCTAACTATACAAAATAATGAATGATTTTATTATCTTAGACTTGGGCTGAAACTGACAGTAACTCTTTGAGTTATACTAACTTAAATAATATAAAAGATGATACTAATTTTTTATTTTTTTTTACTTTATTATTATATTTTAGTATTTTTCTTGGAACCTTTTACAAAAGTTCTTTTGTATTATTTATATGTTAATTTCAACTTTTAAATTTTTTTTTTTATAAAATAGTTCAATGCAGACATACATAATATTACAGAATTATACTATAATATCAGTTACTATAATCTACTTAAATGGTATTCTATATGTTTATTAGTTTTGCTCAATACCTCTTTTATGTTTTATCTCTTGGCAACAGATAGACATACTACTTAACACTACTAATTCTTTTCTGTCACTAGTAACTAAGACTGACTTTTAATTTCTTTTATTTTTTCTTTTATATTAAATTTTTATTACATTGTTTGTATAACAATAACAATAATATACTACTATGCTATTTTATACTTTTATATTACACTATAATTAACTCTTAAATTTAATTAATTTAAACATTATTGATCTTATAATCAACCATCATGGAGCCCAATATACCTGACTCCTATAACACTGCCTAATACTATAACCTGATCCTAACTCTGGCTAACCATACTATCATATAACATGTTTGTTTTACCTTTTGTTTCAGCACTATAACCTCTTCTGTTCATTGTATAATAAAGTTCATAATCAAACAGTATATCTCTTATTAAGTACACAAACTCAGTAAAAACTATGCAACAATAAATAAGATAAAATTTAGATTTATATTATTATTTTTTAAATATGTTATTATATAAAAAAAAGCATCAATGTTACTCAACTGATCCTTTACCTAATATGCAATATATAAAAATTATTTTACAATACTAGCTAAATCATTTTGCTAATATATGTTATAATTATATTCTTATTAGTAAAATAATCTGGTATTATAAAATAATTTTTTATATATTGCACACTGAGTAAAGAATCAGTTATATAACATCAATGGTTTTTTTTGTTTATTGTACATTATAAATTTATTTATGAATACTTTTTTTATACTAATTCAGACTTTTATCCTTATATAATCAAAATTAAGTCAGTACTCATACATTTTATTTGTATAAAATAAGCAGGTTTTATATTACTTTTTTTATTTTTTTGAATAAATTCTGCACTAAAGGTCATGTTATTTATCATTTAATTTTTTTTTATCAGAGGGGTACTCTCCTCCCTCTTTTTTAATATATATTTAATCAGGCTTTTTATATTAAATTTTAATTTTTTTTACCTTCTCTCTCTAAAAATCATCTAATAAATGACACTACTCTAACTATACCTTTTTATTATATAATCCAAATCAAGTCTTCACTTGTGACTTTAGGTCAAGTTTTGCAATATTTTTTTTTTTGAATAGATAATATATTCTTATTTACTAATTCTTACTGAATCTAACTTATTTTTTATTTTTGAATAGATAAATCTATTCTTCTTACTAATTTTGTATTAACTCTTTCTTTTTTTTTTTTTTTTTTTTTTTTTTTAAGTTAAAGTCCCTACCTTGGGAGTTGCAATGTTTTTATTCAAGTATATTAGGACACAGCATGCCACCAAGGGCTCACCTTACATTGGAGGTT